GAAAAAATATGCAACAATCCTTGTTCACTCCCCGGACAACTTAACTCCTGTGGGCGTATGTTTCGTTGCCTGGCAACCTATCTCTATCTTTTTTTTATGAAAGTAGATTTGAATGCGTCTTTAAACTGGTGACCTATGAGTGTCAATGGTTATTCTTGCTGTTATTTCAGACATGATGAGTGCGGTGAAACTGTCTAATTATATACACTGGGTTTTATTTTTTTCATCAAGTTACCAGTCAGTCCACATATTAAATATATTAATATGTTTACAATACAACCATCCTCCATTTTAAGCTATTAGCCATATTGTGGAAACATTAGCAAGTTTGGAATAAACTCAAAAAACTCCAGACTGATGTAAATCTTGAAGTCTTCTGATTACCAAACTTGTTATTTTTTGTCAAGATCTAACATTCACCTACCTCGTCTATTTATGTGGTAATTCTATTTTAGTTCTGTGCCGATCATTTATTTATATCATTTTACCATCTTGTTGTTCACAACATGGTTGTTTTTGTTTGACAGAATTTTTTTCAAGTTGTATGTAAAATATTTAATGATTTGTTAGTATTATAAGTGATCTGATAATATACTATTCAAAAAAAGTAGGGGATATTTGATTTTGGGGGCATAATACTAAAATATGCAAATGACTACGAAAAAAGTCACTATAGAACCCAACAGAAGAAACATTTCCAGTTACATGTGACGCCCAAACACACCAATAGCTACCGCATGGAATGCAGGTGATGCTTGGGATCATCATGGGGGTCCAACCCAAGATTTGCACGACTCTGACTTTGAATGTTACAGTCATTGTGGCATTGAATTCCAGGGTGGAAACATCAGTTTAATTGTTTTAGTGACCAGAAAACAAATTTTGATATGCGTCGGCTTACCCAAAATGAAAGGTTACGTGCCCTTGGCATGCTACAGATCGGCACAACACAGGCGGTTGTGGCGCGGACGATGAATGTTTCTCAGTCTGTCATAAGCAGGCTATGGTCCAGATACCGTGATACACAATCTGTACATGACAGACCACGCTCAGGTCGACCAAGGGCGACAACTCAAGCCCAGGATCGATTTATCCGTACCTTGGCCTTGAGAAATCGTGTCATCACAGCAAATCAGATCAGCGCTCGTCTTCAAACAGACACTGGTGTGAGAGTGAGTGGCCAGATGATTCGGAATCGACTGCATAGGGGTCACCTTCGCGCCCGACGTCCTCGCGTGATCCCTTGTTTGAGAGATCATCACATTCAGGCAAGACGTCGTTGGTGTAGGGATCGTCAACACTGGGATAATCGACGCTGGAGCAATGTGATGTTTTCAGATGAGTCAAGGTTCACTGTTGATTTTTTGGACAGACGTAGGAGGGTGTGGCGTCGTCGAAACGAGCGCTTCCAAGACGTTAACGTCATCAGACATGATCGATTTGGGGGTGGTTCTGTTATGGTGTGGGGAGGCATCACTGTTGCTGGAAGAACGGCTTAACATGTTGTTGCAGGGCGTGTTACAGGCCAGTACTACCGGGACAACATCTTGGCAGTCCATGTTGTGCCGTTCGCACGACGTCATGGCCGCCGTTTCATCTTACCGGATGACAACGCAAGATGTCACAGGGCCAGGATCGTTACAGGTTACCTCCAACAACAGAACATCACCACATTACCTTGGCCAGCACTGAGTCCCGACCTCTCCCCCATCGAGCATGTCTGGGACATGCTTGGACAGAGGTTACGTGAACGTCAACAACGTCCTGCCAATGTCCAAGAACTTGCTGCTGCGTTGCAACAGGAATGGGACAATCTGGACCAAAATGACCTTAGACGTCTCATTAGGAGTATGCCACGTCGGATCAATGCTTGTTTGGCAAACAGAGGAGGATTTACCCGTTACTGACTTGGTTGTGATGCTGTGGTAACTTTGCTGTTTGACCCCGGGTATCATTTTACCCTTATAATGGTCAGTCTGTGCCTTACTTAGTCTAACGATCATTTGGAATAAATCGATGAATGTGAACTTCATTTCATTTTGTCATTTGTTTCTTCGTCAGTTTCATTAGGTGACTTTAATAACACTTAAAAATCAAATATCCCCTACTTTTTTGGAATAGTATATATAGATGGTTTTAACCAAATTATATTTTCATGTAAGCTTACACATTGAAAGTAAACTATAGTTCAAACTATAGATGACTAAGTTGAAGTACTGATCAGATGAAGATGAAAATGAACAGAACACACTTTATTAAATTAAATTATTTCTGAAAACTCTAATCTGTGCATTATAAAACTGGAAATAAATAATGCACCTACAGTATCACTAAAACTGTTAAGTACTATTCCTCAAGTGTGGCCTGTCATTTTTTCTGGTACAGGTTTTTCCTATTTACTGGTTTTATGCACCCACATTAAAATGTGAGACATAATAATTAATAGAACACAATATCCAAAAACATGTTTTTATCCAACTTTTCATCAGTAAAAATACCGACTTCGTCAGGTATGCATACAAGTCTTCTGTAATTGGTTTGTATTGTCTGTTTCCATTGATTGAAGTTTCTCACATTGAAATATGGCCAATTTCCATTGATTGAAGTTTCTCAAATTGAGATGTGTGGCCAGCGGCCTGTTTCCATTGATCGAAGTTTCTTACATTGAAAATGTGGTCGTATGTTAATCAAACTAGTCTCTACAAGCTACAGAAAATACATAATACAGCAGCTAGAATCATATCATGAACCAAAACATCATCTCACATAACACCTATTCTAAAATCTTTACATTGCCTCCAAATTTGAGTTTGCATCAACTTTAAGGCCCTGTGCCTCACATACCATTGACCACAAAATGTTGCACCCAGCTATTTAGCAGAACTATTAACATCATATCAACTAAATCGGTCCATGAGATCTTATAACCAGAACATTCTTGTCGTTCCACAGTCAAAACTGACAAATTTTGGTGACAGAAGTTTTAGTGCAGTTGCTCCTAAATTGTGGAATGATTTACCTCTGAAAATCCAAAACAGTGAAAATTTGACTACCAGTACTTTCAAATCACAGCTGAATACTCACTTATTTCGGGAATGCTATGAGTAGGGGTGGGCAGATTTCGTCAACATATATTGATATCCCATGTGACAAGTGTTTTCCAAGGCCATTTTGGCTGCTGAATCTGAATCTGGTGAGATTTTTGCTATGTAACATCATTTTAGGTTGGTTCAGCGGCCATTTTCAAAATGGCTGTAAAAAATGGACTTTTTTCCTCATAAAAGTAAGGAAATATTGTGGAAATAGTAAGGAAATATTGAAAAATCTTGTGGATGCTGACTTTGGCTGCTGAATCTGAATCTGGTAAGATTTTTGCTATGTAACATCATTTTAGGTTGGTTCAGCGGCCATTTTCAAAATGGCTGTCAAAAATGGACTTTTTTCCTCATAAAAGTAAGGAAATATTGTGGAAATAGTAAGGAAATATTGAAAAATCTTGTGGACGCTGACTTTATACACAGTGTTCAAGGTCATGAGACAAAGGATCCTGTTGATTTTCAGCGATTTCCGATACTTACTGCCAGAGTTACGGCCCTTGAACACTTTCCGGCATCCACAATTGCTTGTTGACGCTCTAGAGGCTAAAGTAAATATCCGATACACAGTGTTTAAGGTCATGAGACGAAGAATCCTATTGATTTTCAGCGATTTTCGATAATTTCTGCCATAGTTAAGGCCATTGATCTCTTTTAAATATCTTGTTGACGCTCTTGAGGCTAAAGTTACTCTCCGATTGACTTTAAATTTATACACAGTGTTTTAGGTCATGAGAACCAAAATCATGTTGGTTTTCAATGATTTCCGATAATTACTGCCATAGTTATGGCCCTTGATAACTTTGAAATATCTTGTGGACACTATAGAGGATAAAGTTAATATCCGATTGACTTTAAATTTATATAATTCACTGTCTAAGGTCATGAGATTTTCAACTATGTTCAATAATTACTGCTGGAGTTAAAGTCCTTAACCTCTTTGAAAAATTTTGTAGAAGGTCTTAAGGCTAAAGTTAATATCTGATTGACTTTAAACTTATACACAGTGTTTAAGGTCATGAGACAAAAAATCCTATTCATTTTCAATGATTTCCTGTAATTACTGCCAGAGTTAAGGCCCTTGATCACTTTGAAAAGTCTTGTGGACACTCTTACTCTTAGAGGCTAAAGTTAGTATAAATTGTTTAAGGTTATGAGACAAACAATCGAAACAAATTCTAATGTTTTCTGATAATTACTCGTAATCAGATTTTCATGTGTAGTAAATGTTCTCATTACTGACAAAAGAAAAAATATGCGATAACACTTGTTGACTGCCCGAATGACTTAGCTGCTGCGGGCGTATATTTCGTTGCCTGGCAAACTTTCTTTTGTAATGATTTTTACCAATCGGCTTCACTAAAAAAATTATTAAAAACTGCACTAATAGCATAATAATTACCAATGTATGAAATGGTTTATAATTTTTTTGCTACTACATCATGCGAAAGGATCAGAGTGGCATTGAGTATAAATTATGTTATAAATTATCCTCTCAAATAACTGAGTAGCTTAGTAAAGTATATATACATGTAGCTTGAACAGTCAACTGTTACATTATCCTTTTAATTCAGACTAAACATTAATGGATGAGGTAAAATTAATTCCTAGTGGGATTTGGTTGAGAATTTCTATCCAGGATACTGTTCGAAACCTGATACGATAGAACTTGTTGGAGAGTTTGTGTTGATATTCGCTGATCAGTTTGTTTGAATGGAATGGTTTCTCCATCAGTACCTGATCTCTGACAGTTGATATTAAAAGCCAATAGAAGAAGCTTACAGTAGGAGTCATGCGGCACTCATCACACATTCCTTATCATTGCACCAGTGTTTCTGTACTATCTATGACCGTCTGACCTTATCTCTGGCAGGACATATAATATATACCATTCTTCCTTTACAGGAATCAGTCAGCTACATGTAGGCTACACCAAGCTTTCTTCTTAGTTAGTCACTGAGTTAGTGGGTGAATTTCTTATTTAAATGGGTAAGTTTCGTTATTATTACATTAGGTTTGATTTAAATGTTTTTGATAGCTATTACCATTTTATATTAGTACTAATAGTAGTTCAGTAATGAGACAAGTACATCATTTCAGACAGTCTGGGAATCACGAGGAAGCAATTCAAATATTGATCAACACATACGTTTCAAGATCAAACGAAAAATAAATTAGAAAACTTGATGATACTGTGGCAAAAGGTTGAAAGTAAAACCAAAATGATGGAAATAAATATCAGTTAGATTGCAGTCAGGTTGACATTAAGTCCTTGTTATAATCCTATTCAGTTTTTAAATTCCAGTTACATAATTTGTCCAGTTTAAAACACAATCGGTCTGGAGAAATACTGTGTATGTTGGGCGCATTCTCAGCCCCTCACGTAGATTGCGCTGCCTTGTAGCACAGAGTCCACTTTGCGCAGATTGGACCCTCCTCTACTTTTAGATTAAGGAAGGTTATTATAGAGACAGCAGGGATGCCTGTGGAAGCATTATGTAAAGATTTTGGGAAATGGTAGTAATTAGAAAGTATACAATCAGCATTGGTATAATGAAAATAACATAATACCCCTTTTTTTGCTGATTTATATGCTGTTTTACCATAAAGATTGTTACTGATTAGGATTTATTAAGAGCACCTGAGTAGAGAAAATTTATAAAGAATGGGGTGACTGTCATTTGTAGGCTTGTCTGTGATATCTCTTCATTGTGGAAGCAGATGTCAAATAAAGTTATTTCACACATACACTTGTATGTAAAGGGTAGTATAATTATTATTTCATTTACCACAGACACATATAGGTATTAAGAATGTAGCATAAAATCAATAGGAACAAATGATGATAACAATACTACAAACTACAAAGAGTCAGGTTATCCTGCCTCATTCTCAGGAATGACACCAGTAGCAGCGTGTAACCTTGGGGCCCTGGAGCCACCAGCATTGTCTCCAGCCCAGAGTAGCTGTATGAACTCCACAATGAGAAGTGGTATCCGATTAGAATGAATTTGAGAGAGTAGTTTTGATTGTCTTAAACTCTGTCTGATTTTTACTTTAACTTTGACTTACAATTTATGCCTTTAATAAAGTTGCAGTTACGATTATTAGAGTCTGGTGGCAAAGGCTATGACAAAGCAATTTAATTCTTAGTTCATCAAGGTCTTGATAAATACATAGCTGCTTGAGTCCTGTGAAAATTGTTCTGTTTAAAATTTCAAATCTCAACAATTATAAATTAAACCAAGTAATTTTCACCCAAGAAATAGGAAACAAAATTTTAATAAGTGTTACAGAACTCGAAGAACCAAAATTTAAATTGGTGTGGCCTAATACAAATCATCATTATTCAACTTTTTTAACTAACAAAAAGACTTATTTTAAAGAGCATTAGAGACATGTAGATCCCTCAAAGGAATCAGCTATCAATTTATTTTGAAGGATTTGACTAATCTCTTTGGAAGCTAACTCAACTAACTGTATTTGTTAATATTCACTAGAGGTTATTACAGATATTAAATGTACTAGAAGATTAATTAGAAAGTTTGTTTACAATATATTTTATTAGAGATGTGAGCTTTAACCATATGCTAATCATATTGACTTCAAACTACTTTTCACTTGATTACTATTTTCTCAGTAAATACCAGCTTGTGAGATCGGTGACTCAAACACTCCTCACACATTAACTCCTGTTGTACCTCTTGAAGCTTTTCTAATTGTGAGGTTTAGCCTTTAAAAACTTTGAGTGCAATAAACAGAAGGAAAAATTAAGGTTGAGAGCAATTAATTTGTTAAGTTCAGTCGTATGTTAGTGTTTTTTGACTGGAATAACTCATCAAGAAGCAAGGGTTGTATATTATGTGTGAAGGGTATCAGGCAGACTCATATGTTGTTAATTAATATAATGGCATTATTAAGTGAATTTGAACTCCATCTGTTGCAGTAATCTATACCGTAAATGATGTCATGCTGATGTATGATGACATTTGCTAGAAAATGAAGATGTTTCTTGCTTAAGCTGTGTTTACACCTTACCAAGACTAAATTGGTATTCTATTTGTTTAGTGTTGTATTTTTGGCACTCACATGATGTATTCAGAAATGTTTATTCTACAACGCAGTGCTAAATTAGCCTCGCATTGAGATGCGAAGATCAAACTTAGGACTGACTTTATGCCTGTTTGGTGCGGATTACATTTACACTACATAATAAGAGGCTTTAGAAGTCTAGGAATATGAAGCCAGTTAAGCACTGGATTGCTTTCATTATTAACACTACCCTCATATTTGTTTGCTTTGGGCTTATTTAGCACCATATATCTTGTTTTGGCCACATATTTTATTGTAGTGCAGTAAATGCTTAGAACCCTACCTTTGTGTGAACACAGCTCTAGTCAGCGTGTCATACAATATAGATGGCTTCCATATGAGAAAATTCACATTTTAGTGCATCCATACTTCATACTTAATCGCTTATTTAGCGGATGTAAAATACAACTAACAAACAACATTATTTAAAAGATAAAAATCTTTGTGCAGTTTATTTATTCTTTGAGCTGAGACGACATTATGGATTGTTAAGGAAGTGTTGTATATTAATCTTTAATGGAGTGATACAAACTAAAGTATCTTTTAAGTGATTATTTTCTTGCAATGTAAAACCTACTTCAGAGAGATAAAGATGTGAAGGCACAATAATAGGTTACCTTTGAATCAAAACTTTTCAAGATTACAGAATGGATTACATGTAATTAAGGAATAGAAAAGGATCTAATCACCTTTCTGATATGGCATTCAGGCACTTTAGATTTAGCTAGTTTAAAATGCAGGTGATTGGTTTAAGTTAGCTTAAGTTTGTCATTGGAATGTTAAGTTTGGAGCAAATAAACCAGTAAAAAAAACTCTGTTTGGTACTTATCTTTACTTTAAGAAGTTATTTTATAAATTATAGTCTAAGTTGGTTTAGGGCCTGTGCATTTCATTACTTTTTATGGAAATTTGTGGTTTTAAGTTGGAGATAGGGTGTGTGTATAACTGTATCCTCAAACTGTCGCTTATATTCTGTGTAAACTCTAAACCTAGAGTGTTGGGGCTTAAATTTTTAATCTAGTTTATATATATACCGGTAGCTGTCTGAACCGTTAATATTTCAAGACAGTATTAGTTCCAGAACCAGATTATCCACAGTTGATAATGAATGAAAGAAACCACTACAAGTAAAAATAATTTTGTATATCGTATTTCGAGAAATATGATTGTGCTAACTTTGTCTGAGTTTACAAATATATCTACATGCATATATTATCACAGATATAAACATGACTTAAATTGATGAACATGTAGCAATCCCTAATGTTTTGGCAATACATCTTTTACTTTCAGCCATCGTAAAACTCCCAACAGCTTAAAGTTGTGCAGAACTTTCTAAAATATTTTGACATTGCTAAAACACAAGGCTACATTTACAAATAAAGTTCTTCACATTGTTAAAAGATAATATACTGCTCTGTAGATATATTTACCTATAAAACGAAAGTAGAATTTGATCTTATCATTTGTTATCTGTGAACCTGCACCTACTAACTATAGTTATCTTGATTGACACACACCTGGTTTTTCAGTAGGTAAATGTAACTGATATATTTGAAGACCTAAAAAATAGACTCAGTCAGAGAATAGATGGTCAAAAAATGGCTTCTCTTGACATGGTTGTTTATCATTTTTCACATTGCCATAGTTACTAAGTACAAATCTATCGGTTTTGCACTGATGTACAGACAATTTGTATACATTTGGTTCTGATATTGTTAAAGATATATACTTGTAACAATGTGAGCAGGCGTCAAGATTCTCAGTAAATGAATAACACCTTTCATTGTGAAGAAAACATTGGTGCTTCTGTATTAAACAAAATATTAAGATTTTCTTGCTTATTCGAATATCATTTCTAAACGGCATATTATTTTTAATATTTATCTTTTGAGTGCCCTTAAATATTTAAAGTGTATCTCTCAAACTAGATTTACAATTTACAATTCATTTTTAAAAGTGCTATGTTTTCATTGTTTCTCTGTTTATAAAGTAGGAGATTTAAAACTTCTAGAAGTAGAGTAAAACACAAGGATAATGATTACAGAATATTAGCTAACTTCTTTATGGAATTAAACCATGATGATGTGAATACATCACAGGTAGTTTGTGTTGAAATGTCAAAGAAGTCAATATTCTATAATAGATTCCTTGGACTTCTGTAATATTAAGTACTTAGCATATCGTTGATTTATTATGTTTTACGTAATATTGGTTTTAATGTTTTAGTACATTTCTTAATATGATTAGCACTTTATGTGTATGTGTGTAATCTGAGAAATTATCCAAATAATATATAGATAAAGTCAGATCTTAACACTTGTCTTAGTGCCAAAATAAATATTATACTGGGATGGTCTTATCATAGAGTAAGGTAGAATGACTTTTACTCCTACATGGTTCATGATGCCTTCAGTATCCGTGTTTTTCGCATATTGCACGCATATTTGAAGCCAAAATCATCTCGATTGGTAGCCAACCAAGTAAGAATTTCTTCTGTGTTAAGTCAATGCCAGGAAAGATTATAGTTTGTTTGTATACCATGTGGTTTTCAAGTATATTATACTCATCTAAAGAGGATGTGTCAGGAATGTTTTAGATGGTGGTTTTTGTGCCGTCTTGTGATTGTTTTTTTTTAAGTCTTCGTTAGGGAAAATTGTCGAGAAATGTTAAGGATGATGTTAATATGATAACTATGATGATAAGTTTGTGATATTTTGGAAGGTAGGTGTTATATCTTAGGTATTCACCTTGTTTATCATCCGATCATATTCCATAATCCATCAATATTTAGCAGACGCCAGGCAGTATCATTGACCATCTGTTCATGATATATAGCAGAATCTATGTTTTCGATAGTTGACGTCTTGAGGTGTAGGTAGAAAATTATTATTTAG